TTGAAATTTTAATACGGCCACCGAAAAGCGTAGCTACAAACGAGCCCTTTGTAAAGCGCGAAACAGTCGGTATAACCGATACACGATTGCTATCAGGGGCTCTCTATGCATACATTACTCGTGTTTCTTCGTGCACGCATTCGTAACGTTCGATACACTCCGAAAGCAGAACTTCCGAAACATCTTACTATCCCCACCAGGTGTATACCGAATTTATACCGAGAATATACAAACACCACCGTTTGAATCATCGATATAACAAGAACAGATTTTTCCCATTAACAAAGACAGCAAGAAAGTCCGAAATTTCAATATGTTTTCTATCTGCTTCGTCTACCGTTTTTTAATGCATTTTACGGCTTCGAATTAACCTCAATGGCTGTATAAATAACCGCGGACGCGTAAAGAAGCCAATTTGGATAGGCGATTACCGTACGCAAGTGAGATAATTCGAAGCGTTCCATTTCCTTTTTTGTTTTCCTGTTTCCGTTGCACGGCGTATCATAATTTTTCGAATCGCGTGGAGAGAGACAGAGAAAGAGAAAAAAAGAAAAAAAGAAAAATTTCGATGCGGAACGACGAGGGGCAGAAATTTCTTTCGTGCTCCGAAACACGTCGGCTCGGCGAAAAAATAACAGGGGGATTTTACGCGGATAAATGACCGGGCGAGCCGTGAACCGGTCGAAACATATTAAATCCAGGCCGGCCCACGCGAGACGGAAGGCCTCTGAATCATCGTGAAATCGATGATTAAAGTAGTCGGCCGAGCGACTTCACGATACCGTGCAGCGCAAACGCGAGGCCAGATGGAGACGAACGCAAACCGGGGATTGGGGGGAGGGACGAGCGAAGGAAACCGAAGCCCTTAATAACGAGCGGCGCAACATCCGCGAAATGGCGATTTTTCGTGTTCGCTCGTAGTTTTGTTCGTCTGAAATTACGTTTACCCTTGGCTCTAGTCGACGGAGGGCGGCGCGAGTCGTGTGTTTATACGGAGGACCCTGAACGAAGGGGGAACGACATCGCGATGAAAAAGAAGATCGAGAGATAATATTAATAGGAAATGAAACAACGGGGTATTATTTTGTTGTGCCATTAACCGACGATTTTGATTTGCTGGCAGATGGAAAATATTTACAATCACCGCTACTCACGTCTTAACCCTTTTAGTACCTTAGAGTTGACAGGTCGGTCTTGTGGGGTTTCCGAAAAATCCCTCGAGCCGATATATTAATACCGATAAAAGGTTGAATTACGATCTATATTTTATATATTTACATCGTATTCTTATTTACTACTTTTTAACGTCGACAAGTATTGGCTGAAAAACTCTTCAGCCTCTTCCAGTTGTATTTCTTTTTCGAAGTTCTTCCTTAATACAAAATATTGATAATGCAGTTCAATTAATTGGATAAATCCTATAATATCTTTCAGTCGAAGTAGTGTACTTTTTTTTACAAGACGAGTAACTTCAGCCAATCGAAATCTGTTAAAGAAACAGAATAGCGCAACGTACCACAATATATATTACAGAATATATTGAAGTTCTGGTCCTGTAGCCAAAGGATCAAGAACCGGGAACGATCGCCGATAACAGGAAACCCGTACGTTCCCTGTTTCTTCCCCTGTAACATAGTAATCTACGACCGGGGCCAATTACGCGGAGTAACCGGAACTTCCCATGGGCTGTCGATACACGCCACTCGAATCACGACGAATCGACGACCCTCGACAAAGTCAACGGGAATTCCGCCCTTTCGTGCGGTTGTTCGCCCTCCACTCCCTTCAACCCCCTCTCGATCGATGCGTACCGTCCGCGCGCGAATTAATCCTTCCTGCTCGAAGGAACCTTTCCTTTGTTCTCTTTTTTTTCCACCCCCATCCCCGTCATTTGTTTGTTTCGCTTTTTTTGTCTAGCCTGTTCACCCGGTTCGCGTCACCGTTGTATCCCGGATCGGGCACGCGTTCGCATGAACCCGTGTGTGTACAACTGAGGCAGGGAATGGGGCAGGGGGTAGATGGAGAGAAAAAAAAATGATTCTCGGAGCGGAGAACGGTAGCCAGAGGACTGGGGGGGGGGGGGTTTGGACAACAATGGGCCGTGTACCAGCTTTAATGGCTCGCCCCTCACCCCCTTAAACCCCCACCCCCGATCGAGATTAAACCGTGCACACCTTGCCGATTCTAAGGCCGCCACCGTGTTCGTATATTATTCAGAAAGGGAACAACGCAGGGGTTGATGTAACGGGATCATTGGAGCAAAACGGATACTTTATTCGATCGTGTCGATAGGCGAAAGGGTGGCTGGATAGTTCTATTGGCCTTCGAATTCGGTCATCGAGTCCCCTGTATTTTTCTGTTGAAAGTCGTAAAACGTCGGTAAAGAATATTTCGAGTGTATAGCAGATGATTCTTCGGTTGAAATCATAAATAATATAGAAACGGTATTAAATTCTATTTTCGCCAGAATATTTTCTAATTAGAGATATTACCAAAATAACGTCGTGCTCGAATAGAAACTATGCAGTCCACGAGATTGAACCATGTCGACACGCGTTTTGATTGTGTATTTCTTTCATTGATTCGAGTGCAGGTCCCCATTAAACGGTTCGTTGAAGCTCTTATAGACCATGCGATTTGTTGTACAAGTCGTACGACATAACATCGCTTCGACGGTTGGAACTGTCGTTCAGACCGTTGAAACGACGTATGTTGTACGATCAATGGTACGATAAAGTTTAATTTATATTATTGACACGGACACGGAACGTAACCGTTCAGAACACAGCGGAAAATATTTTTTTGTCACTGAAGTACAATGAACCACTGCTTGGTGGTGCTGTAATAGTGACACGTGTACCGTCAAGTGACTTTCTGTTGATTGACTGATCGGATACCACCGTCCGACGAACGTATAATACAAATACTCGTGTCTGTGTCTAAACGTGGCTGATACAGAAACGTTACGTGTCGGATACGAATAATATAAATCCACCTAAATCTTATCGTCTATGGGTCGTTTTACCGGTGAACATACCTCCGCTTCCGATTCGATCATTCGATCACGGGTCAACCATATTTTCGTAACGAGATGTTAAATCGGTGACGCGTTCCTCGTCCGTTACTCTTCCCGGGACTCCATTAATATTATCGCTTCACTTTTCACGGAACGATTTTATTTTAAAAGAAGGTGGGGGCGAAAGCTCCTTCCGTCGATAAGGCGATTAGAGTCCGCTTTGAATCAAACGGCGAGAGCGATTCGCTCCGCGTACAACGACGTCTTGGGATTAGAAACGAAAGAAAACGTCTTTCGAGTAACTGGAGACTGGAAAATAAGCGAAGTTAAAAGGAGAGAAACGTCGACTTCGTTCCTCCCCCAGCTCCCCTCAGCGCTCCTAGTACCTACCGAAGAACGCGAACGACGGTTTCCTGTTCCATTGTACTTACGCGAGAGGCGAAGCTTTAAGAGTTCTGCTCGACGAATCCAGGAATGAGACGCTCTTTAACGAACAAGGGTCCCGTAAAGTACTGGGCGAGAAGAAGTAGGGGGTGGGGACGGGGACGCAGAAGTCCTCTCGAAAGTTTACCATTTCGTGCCACCGATACTTTCGCGTTCGTCCATTTAAGTATACACTCGAAATAAAACGGCGACGGTTGGTACAAATGCTTCAACTTCGTTCGCCCGTCGCGATCCCTCGTAACTTCGATTATTAACATTGGTCTCTGGTGAAAATCTCACCGCGGAATAGTGAACCGCGAAGAGGGAGAGGGTACCGTGACCATTTGGCGCCCGCTGAAACCGGGCGAAACGAGTTCTCTGCATGACTTTCCTTGTACATACTACCCACCACCGTGGAACTCACAGCACGGGACGAAATCTGGCACACGATATACACGTATATACGGGTTGTTCGTCTGTTTACACCCCTTATTGTGCTTCTGAAACTATTGCAAACCCTTGGTTTCTCACTAACCCACTGCCCTGGAAACGACATCAGACGTCTTCTTGTTACTAACACTTTTCGCTGTAAGCTATCCACCCGGCGCTCATCTTCTCGACTACGCTTACGGTGTGAAAATATAATACCTTCGGCTGGAAGAAAAAAAAAACAGAAAAAACTGCGAAACCGATATATTCCGTACCACGCGTCCGCATATTTAAACATTGGACGGTGAGATACAGCGACGAAGAACGAAGAATATTTTTGTTCTTTGTACGGCCGTTCAAGAGTAGATTCTTGATCGGGGAAAGGACGTTTTCAAGGTCGTTTTTTTGTCCACCCCCTCGGGCGCCGTTGCCTTTGATTCTCGGTTCGTGATTCCGTCCGAAGTACAGCGTTGAATCACTCCCGCCTATATCATTGTTCCCCCTGGGGTGGCATTCTCTTGCTCACGTGACGATTGCAGGTGCAATTATCGTAATTCCTGTACGGTGGACGTGCGCAGCGAGATTTTCGAGGAGGACCCGTGTCCCGGAACCGGAAAGTACATCGAGGCGCAGTACCATTGCCTAGGTTTGTGCACAGATTTCTTTATCGATCGGCGAATTCGTTTTTTTTTGTTTGTCGATGAGCATCTCCACGACGGGGTGTATCGGTAACCAAGCATTTTCCACGATCGACGAAGAATTTCTTGAATGTAATAGGCAGTGGTTATTTTGAAATTATAATGAACCAGGATGAAAAATATCGAACAACTTTGGTCTGGATCGTTCGTTATTAATACGATCTAGTATCCGATTGACTGATTCCTTTTTCTCCTACTAATGGAAATCGATTGAAAGAAAATCTTGGAAGAAGCTTGGACCTACGAGCCCGACATAACAAAAGCAACGAATCGCGTGAACTTCGTCGAAAAAGTCTCTCGATTCAACAACACCCCCACCCCTCGAATATACGTATCCACGACGGTAAGAGAAAAGGGACAGGATCCATGGTTCAGCGCACTTGGTAAGGGTGCGACTTGTAATTAACCGCGAATACGAAACCCTCGATATCCAGGTGCAACAACCAGCAGAACTGCAGCATCGTTGCGTCCACGGTGCAATTCGGCGATCCTTGTCCCAACACGCACAAGTACCTTGAAGCGCACTATCGTTGCGTGTCCGGTAAGTAAAACAGATCCACTTTTCTACGCTCCATTCCTTTGTTGTAATATGTATCTTCCCGCCGTTTTATTTCGCGGAACAATCTTTAGAGGAGGTACGCTACGGTACCGATCGCATAAGCGTCGACTTCGTTTGTTTTCTACAAATTTTGCGGGTCACGAAAAAAAGCACTATATACACAGGATACCATTTTGACCAAAAAGAGTCCGATTTTGCATGGAATGACCCTATACGTAAAGTTTGACAAATAAAAGTTAAATACCAGTTTCTAAATATTTTTAAAACACTTAGAACTGTATATTTACGAATACAAAAACCCTCCCGCCAGTAAAGTGTTAAACTTGTGTTCTAGCATCCTTTCTTTTGTAAATTTTACGTGTCACAAAGGTATTTCCGGAATTTCTGTTTTTACCACGATGCATTCCAATCGAGATAGTATCAGTTTCTTCCTCGATTCCCGTTTCGTCCGATAAAAAGACAATCGAGATTGGTTCTTCATTTCTCGGGACGGTAAAGTGACGGTCGCGTAAAAACAGTTCGAACCGCGAGAATCGATTAGAATTTTCCGAAGTCGACGCTTGTGATTCACGTTTCCATACGTAACTTCCTAGACCCGTGTGTGTCTCGATAAAGATCTCCCGGCGGGTTGCATCGGCTATGCGCACTCGATACAAACGGGATATAAGCGGTAGAGGTGGAAAAAACCTCACAGAAGAAGAGAAAAGAGGCGAAGGGGGGCGAAGGAAAAAGAGGAGAAGGGAGGAAAGGTAGGAGAGGTTCGGCGAAGACGTGATCTTTGCAATCGAGAAATCGATCGTGGGGGATCGGTAACGGCGAGATACACGCGTCAAAAGTTTTCTGACGTGTTTCGTATCGTAATGAAACTCTTCCACGGAGCCAATAAGAGCAGAGAGACTCCGAGAGAATATTGCTGTAAGCATCGATCGTTACGCTCGATGATACTGCGATTCGTCTGCGGCGAAACGACGCCCGGCGGTTTATTGTGAATATGCATCGCGTCGTTCGCTTTCATAAACAGTCCTTCGATTAATTTGCTTCCCCCAAAAAACGAACTGGCCTGTCTTATCGAGGAAATCTTGATTCATAACGAATAATATCGGTCCGTCGTTATACCTTTGTTATACTCGATACTAAAGAAAAAATTTTGTTTCTGACTGGAACCAAAGTAACATGACATTTTCCGCTTATAACAATAGTCAGATTCACCTTCGAAATGATCAATATATGTATATGCCCGTCTATAAGTCATGGGACACTTATATGCTACTAAACGTAGAGTAAAAAAGAGTGAAAGTTATAAAATTAGTTATATAATGAAACCAATTAATTCTTTTTAATTTTCCACGCTGTAAAGAAAATGTTAATTATATTCAATGTACTGAACAATCTTAAAAACCTGTTCAATTAAAGTATTTATTTAATTTCGGAATATTCGTCATGAATTGCGGTATATTAACAATATATTGCATTTTAGTTCCGTACTTCCATTTGTCTCAAAACAATCAAGTTGCCCGTGACTTAGGGACGCGGAAGTGTAAATCTTCGGTATCTACAAGTCGGGACAGAGCTCTAGTGTATTTTACTCGAGTCGAGGTGTAACTCCACCGACCATTCACCGTTAACACCCACCCTCCGCGATCCAGCCTAAAACCGTCGGGCGACACAATCACTTATTGGACCATAAACTGTCAATTCCCCTCGTCTCTCTGTTTGCCTTTCACGGCTCCCCAACACTTCGCCCCTGTCGTGATCGATACTCAAGAGGCTCGATAGATCGGTCTCGAGGTACCAGGCGTACATTCATGGGGGGAGTCGGATCTCTGGTTGGTAGCCCCGATACCCACGAACGAGAGAATTTCTCCGTCTCTCTCCTCCGTCTTCCCTTTCGTGCATACGACTCTCACTCTCTCATTCTCTCGCACAAAACCCGACTATCGTAACGGACATCGGCGACGTCCGGTATTTTACCTTATCGCCAACCCCTTCGGCCAATAAAGATGACCCCTATAGAGATAGTACCGCGAAATACGCGGACCATCCCGTTCAGGGATTAACTGCCGTCGCCATCTTGGGTTAAAGATCGTTTTCTCCTCTTAGGCCAGATATAGTCGCGATATCAGCCGCGAGGTAGGCTAATCTCGTCCTTTTTGGCTCGCCTCGTTCGCCGAGGCATTCGTTTTCGGGGAATATTTCTGTCGTGGGCCGATGTACCGTCACGATTACCCCCAGGGCCGCGCGAACGCCCGACATTGAAACATCGACACTAAAAGACGTCTATCCGCGCGTGTCCCGTGCGCGATACGGGAATGGATATTCTCGATATGGGGCTGAACAATCCCGAGTAATCGATCGTACGGTCACTGGAAATATATCATCCATCACTACGATTCAGTTCGCAGAAAGACCAAAAATAGAAGGAAGAATTGAAATTCGGTCTGTAAAATCAATTTTCGTATTGTCTCACTTTCAAATCTCTTGATCGAAATTAATTAAATTACCATAATACAATATTTGAAATGAAAAAAAGAAAAGAAGCAATATATGTCATAGTAATTTAATCGTCAAATACGCGATATGATTTTTCTTTGCCCGATTAATAATCCATCAACGTTTCCACCCCCCGATTAATTTCTCCTTCGATCCGACGGACCCGATGAAAAGCAAGGTTCAATCGGTCCGAGGTGAAAGACTTCTTCACCGCAACGGCTGCAATTCCACGGGAAACAAACGGACGATCACTATAGCGTCTGGCCGTGTGAGAGAGAAAGATAGAGTGAAAGCATTCCAAGGAGAATCGACGGGAGATTGATCCCCGAACCCCTCTAAGATGGTTTAAAATATCCCCGTCGTTTCAGCCGGCTGAGAGGAAGCTCGTCCACCTTCGACGAGCCCTCCCTCAAATCACTTACCTTCTTAATTATACCCGGCGTTCGAATCCGATAAGCTCGTAAACGAGGCTCTCAAGATCCTACGCGGCCACCCTAACCGTAGCCCTAACGGGCGTCTCTCTGCTTTTCGCGTCCTCGTCTTCGCCCCGCCGATCGCTTTCGACGCACCTCCCCTCCTCGCGTCTCTAGCGTTTCTCGACGTTAAAACGAGCTCGACGAAACACTTGCAGCGGCAACAACCACGACAACGTCCCGTCCGAGTCCGCCGTGGTTCGTGACTTCGCAGCCGAGCGTTTGGAGCACAGCTAAGCCGACTGTCAGGCCTCCCTCCAGGATTACGACACCCCCAGCTCAGCAGCAACCACAGCCGCCGGCGCCGTCCACACCGACACTGCCAATAACCACCACGTCAAGGTCAGTACATCGTTCGCGTCCGTCCCTAGCTGTAAATAATCTGTGAAAATCTTTTTTTTTTGTTTTTGCGAAATTTTGTATACGCGTGAAAAATGTCTCCTTGAATTTATATTACTATAGAGTTGATATAAACTTTCGAATCGAAAGGGCAATTATACTTTCTCGTCATTTCGTCATTTTTTAATAATGTTTATTCGAGTCGATTGAAGTGAAACTCGTAACATCGTGCACGTACACACGACTCTTCGAAGACCAAAAGGAAATTGTGCAGTGTCCGGCTGGCAAAGCAAACTTATAGAAAGGTTTCCTGTTAAATCGAGTTACAAGGTGCCGCATTCCCGACGGAAAAATATTTTCGTTACATCTTTGCACTCGCAGTGCCCACCCACGTGGACTCTCTATGGCACGTACTAAAAATGACGAACTTCTCTTTCCACTTTGTAGTCCGACGTCGACAAGGTCTCCGGTCGATATGGAGGTGCTCGAGGTGGACCAAGACTTAATACTTCCAGCGAATGTTCCGTCTGCGAACGGACCTGCGGTGCCTGCGATCGTTCCCGAGACAACTCAGCCCACAACGACGTCGACCCTTGCTTCTTGGAGAACGAGTCGAAGGACCACTGGTGAGTTCCTCGAGCGTTTAAATACCTTTCGTCGACCGTGTATTAAAGGTGCGTTAATTACATCGAGGATACGTCATTTACTTATAAATGCAGACTCTCTACAACCAAAAAAGAATTACATAACGGATTAATATTGAAATTAACCAACGTTAAGCTCTTTTGAAATCGATTTTACCAAAAGTTTAAAGTAGTTATCAAAGGAATTGTGAGTTTTTCTAAAAGAACATGTCGCTACGTTATTTATAAATTATGTCCACCATCGGTGAATAAATATATCGCTCTTCATTTTATTACGTACGTCATAGTATAGTAAAATATATAGTAGATAGTAGACCATAATGAACCTCGATAGATTCGCCGAAGCAAGATTTATCGAGAGCACGTTCATACTTGGTTTGAACTATCGACCAACGATTATGGTCGACGCGTTCGCTCAGTGGAGGGCTTGTCGGCTGTCAATTGCACTCGACGATCCTGCCGAAAGGGTTAACGTCCAAAGGGCAGGTGTCAGAGCTTCGAAATTTCAGCTGTCTCTGACTCGAAGGGGCCGCGGAAATACATTAAAAACGTATCGATCTGTAACCGTTAATAGAAGTGCCCAGTATCCAACCACCTTATCCTCTATCACCCCAGTTCTTACCGTTCTATCGTTCAGCACCGATCGCAATTACGCGGGTTAAAACGGTATTCGGATAGCCTCGTGTATAAATTGTATCGGGGTTGCTGGCCAGAGGAGCTTCGACTTCATTGTAACTTCGCGAACTCGTAACAATCACCGCGAAAGATTAAGACACCCTTGGGTATCCAAAATTCCATTTCACCCGACCAGATACGATGTCGCGCGTTAAGCTTCCCCACCGGGGACCGGACACTAGAATCACATTAAAGCCATGCCATTAACTAAAGCCAAGTAACGGGCCAACTAACGCTCGTAACTAACTCAAATATTCCAGTGCCCAGCACGCTCTACCCGGAGTCCAGCTCGAACGGGCAATGGTACGACTACGGCAGACAAGTGTGTCCCCCGGTGATGGCCAGGAACCTCTCGTGGAACACGACCAGAGCCGGCGACGTAGCTGTACAGAGCTGTCCAGGCGGTGCGAACGGGCTGGCACGATGGAGATGCCTAGCAAAGGGCGATTCCGCATTCTGGCATCGGGACAGTCCGGATTTGAGCGAGTGTCGATCGGTCTGGCTGACCACACTCGAGAATCGAGTGACGGAGGGCGACGTGATCCTCGGTATAAGCCGCGAGCTGTCGCAGGTGACGAACAACAGCCGTGGATTGTACGGCGGCGACATGATGATCACGACCAAGATCATGAAGAACATGGCGGAGAAAATGGCCCAGGACATCAGAACGTACCAGGACGCGAATCAACGGGAGGTGAGCGTCACGGAGTTGCTGCAAGGTGTCGTGAGGACAGGTAGTAATCTCCTGGACAAAGCGCAAATGGCATCTTGGAAGGACCTCAGTCATCAGGAGCAGATGAGAGTCGCGACCTCCTTATTGACCGGGCTGGAAGAGAACGCGTTCCTGTTGGCCGACACGCTGATGCATGAGAAAACGATCACTCATGTGGGAAGGAACATACGTAAGTATAGTTCATTCGTTGAATAATACGTATTCTATTATGGACAGTTTCGTTTCGAGACAGAGGTGAGTCCCATTTCGAATTGGACATTTCGTGTCGCTCGATGTTGGCAGAGATTGATGTTCATTGATCAAGAATTCTGTAGGCAGAAAATATAAATGAACGAAGGAACGTTGATCCTCTTATTAACTACCATTGCAATTACTCGTCGAGATTGACACAGCGTGTCTTGGTCGTATTGCACTGTTCGTTTCGAGAACTTATCCGCACAGGTATCCAGTTTATCAATTGTGTTGGATCATCTGTTGAAAAAAGAAGTAGCTCGCGATAGAGTAGCAAGTTAGCAGCTCGGACTAGCCCGTTGTACAATGGGCAACGCGAGTAATACCGTGGGTCCGACTTCAGTATTCGGTCGCATAAATCTAGATTCCTTATCTGGAGAATGCGACGCTAGTAATATCCGGCGTAGATAAAACAAAGATCCAAACCCATCGTAATTCTCTGGTACCTTCCTGGATAATGTTGTAACCCGAGCTTTGCCTCTCTCTACTCTCGGTTCCACCATTATCGCAACAAAACCTCTCCCGCAAGGAAAATTACGAGCAATTTGATTTACTTCCCGGAAGTAAGGTGGCGCGTCGTGATTGAGCCTGGAAGGGATTTATACGCCGCGGTCGAATGAAGTAGCTAGCAACATTAGATCCGCACGTGATAAATAGCATAACAGTAAAGGGCAAAAAGGATGAGGATGAGTTTGATGAGCGACAGCCGGCCGGATGCCACGTAACATAATATTGCCCCCCCCCCCTTTCCTTGGTCGTGCTCTTTCTTCCGTGCCAGCAGAAAACTCCGTGCCCATCATCGCATGCCTCGAATTTTTTCCCGTCACCAGCCGCCGCCGTCGCGTTTATGACTGATCGAACAGAATAGGTGACGCGACGAGGAAAAAATGTTGCACGCGCGGTTAGTTTTATTCTCCACCGTGGAGAGAGAGAGAGGATGAATCCACCATGTAAAATTTTATAGTTGCGGTCTTGACGAACGTCAAAGAAAGAATGGTGAATGTGAATCACACCATAAAATTCGTTCGTCTTGGCTGAACAAAAATACCGTCCTAATATCTATATTAAACATTGCTCTAACAATTTACCTTTCAATTCACTGGTACCTAATTCACTCCCCATTTTTTGTAACGCTGACATTTTGGTGAGGTTTAACACAGTATAGAGCTTAGAATTCTGAAGTCAAAATAAAAAAAAATATTTGTTTTGGTATATTTAATGTTCGGTGCCGAAGACCCTTTAAACACTCATCGATGATTTCCTGTATGCTACCGTTACAACTTCTGTCTACCGATTTTTCGTGTCTGTTAGATCAATAACTTCTTTCTTCATTCTTATAGTCAATTGTCTTGAATCGCTTCGATAGGAAACGATAATGCTGAAATTACAGTTTAATTTCCTTGTTTCGAACCTAGTGATGGAAGTTCGCGTGCTGGACGCCCGGAACATCGGCGACGATCTGGAGGTGTTCCCGACCGAGGCCGCCCAACAGAGGTGGACGGCGTCAAACGATCGGGTGGAACTGACCAGAGGCGCTTTGCTGGAGAACAGCGCGGGCGGTATTGTCCGCTTGGTCTTCATGGCCTTTGACAGACTCGAGGAGATCCTGCAGCCGCAAGCCGAGGTATCGTCCCTAGTCATGAACGACGACCCGCAACCGCTGCCGAAAAGGAACACGACCAGGCTTCTAAATAGCAAAGTGATCTCCGCGTCTTTGGGCAAAGGCAGGCATATACAGCTCAGCGAGCCCGTCAGAGTCTATTTCAAGCATTTGTCCATTGAGAACGTCACCAATCCGACATGCGTCTTCTGGGACTACATCTTGAGGTAATTTTCGTGTAACTAAGACAGTTCCTAGCTACTTAGATTCATCGAAGTGAGTGTAACAGAATCACCTTTTATACGGCTTGTCTAAGTTTCTCGAAGACGGAAATGAAAATAAGTTCTTTAGTTGACTTGTATATGCTTTTTTTAGCGCTTGGTCGGAGGAAGGTTGCCAGATACGAAAAACCAACGAGACTCACACGGTCTGCGAATGCAACCATCTTACGAACTTCGCCGTTCTCATGGACGTTCACGCCGTAAGATTGGACATCGCCCACCAAGTCGCATTACAAATCATCACCTACATCGGTTGCATCATTTCTGTCGTCTGTCTCATCCTGGCTATACTGACTTTCCAATTATTTCGCGGACTGAAGGTAACGATCTTCTTCCACTCAATACAGTTTTACCATGTATTACCATCGAACCAAGAATAACTTGATCATTGAACACCGTATTCTTTTTTGTATCGTTACAGTCGGACAGAACAACAATTCACAAGAATCTCTGCGTGTGCCTGCTGATCGCGGAAATTTTATTCGTTTGCGGAATCGGCCAAACGAATCAGAGAATTGTCTGCGGTATCGTAGCCGGTTTGCTCCACTTCTTCTTCCTCTGCGCGTTCGCCTGGATGTTCCTAGAAGGTATTCCCTCGCAATTGAATATCCATTGACACTCTAAAATCAGGAGACACCAAGTAATACGTTGGAGAACTGTCTGAACCGTTCGTCAACTTTCTTGCAGGATTCCAATTATACGTGATGCTGATCGAGGTCTTCGAAGCAGAAAAATCGAGACTTCGCTGGTACTATCTGGTCGCTTACGGTGCACCATTGCTGGTCGTGGCCATTTCTTGTATAATCGATCCTCTCAGCTACGGGACCGATCGGTACTGTTGGCTACGGGCGGATAACTACTTCATCTTCAGCTTCGTTGGGCCTGTGATACTTGTTATACTGGTACGAGTTTCTATAAATGTTCGTCCGAGTTTAGTCTGCTTTTATTAAACAGCACTTTAATCGTTTAATAATGAATTATTTAGTCATTGAAAGATATTGAACGTGTACTAGATTCCATATAAAATACTTTATATTCAAATTTTTAGTATTAAAATTTATAGTTTCGAAGAAAAGATTTTCAATATCAAAATTTTCAGTTCAGTGGTATTCTTATTGTGTTTATACAATGCGTACCGAAGAAGTTACATAAAATTATTGTTCTCTTCTCGCTGATCTTACTTATAAAAGACATAGTTTATAGAAATTTATGCAAATTAATACAATGTTCACACGACCACTAGTCGTAGTCACAAGAAATTGTTACACTTGAATTAACGATAGGAACAAGCAGATAAACGATCGTTCATTTCAGCAGCAGTTGCTCGATTAAAATGGTGAACGCTGATTAATATTCTGATTTTCTCCCATCAGGCAAACTTGGTATTCCTGTCGATGGCAATTTACATGATGTGTCGGCACGCGAACACGACGGTCGCGATGAAGAGTAAGGAGCACTCTCGTTTGGCCAGTGCAAGGTAAGCCGAGCAATTACCGGCTTGTTGTAAACGTTGTAATTCGTAAACAGTAAATCCGTATATGTATATATATCTCTATATATAAAGTGATCGATCAGAGTCCGTCCGTAAACACGTTCGAGATACGATATCCTCACGTCGAGTAGATAATCAAAGTGTTTGTTTGATGCTTTCGGTTCACGTTCGCAAGCTTTACTTGCTTAAAGAGATCTCCCCGAAAGATGATCTTATTGTCACGCATCATTTTTGGCGGCCATGCTGAGTTCTTTTTTTTGTTTCGTTATTTGTCTCTGTTCAGTACCTGTGTTGGAATGATCGCAGATTTCGTTCGTTCGACACACCACTTGTATTGCTGTAAATCTTAGGTATTCAATATATCATATATGTATATACGACTACATATATATCTGGACCCCAGAACCAAAGTGTATTAAGTCACATTTTCCAAACTTTGGAACCGTGTGGTTCAAAATTCTCTCGATGTCTAGAAATGGTGAACATTACATTAAATTCCCTATGTGATAAATTTTATATTGTTTGGCTCGAGACAAGATACGGACTTAATATCGTTTTTACACTATTATAAACAGAACTACACTACTTGAAACGAAATAATTTTTAACATTGGAAAGATTGAAAAATTTGATACAAGAAACATGGAAAATGTCAGTTTCTTAAAAAAGTAGATTTAATATACTCTGGCTCTGGGGTCCAGATACATATATGTATACATATATGTATATATATGTTTATAATTTTGACGACACTCGTTGATTCGCGATCGAAACCGAGGAGAGATTATTAAAACCGAGGAGAGATTATATTAAAAGCCATCTCACAGTCCAGCTTCAATTAGGGACGTACAAGTAATGATAATACATAATTTCTTACACGTTTCTGTCGATTTAAATCAAGCGAACAGAACTATGTCAAATTGAATAGATATAGTTAATTAACGACACGGTATTAACTTGGTAAATCTCCGTATAGAAATATCGGTGATGGTAGTTCAATTTTGTCTGCAAACTCGACTCGAATTATTATCAGGGCTGGCTTCATCGTAACTATTCGTGAGGCATCTTCTTTGTCTGTGTTTCATTCTTCAATCAATACACTTATAATTAAAACTGTTTTTGTATGTTGATTACACTAACGCCAGAAACACCAGTGCGTAGTAATACGGATCGAGTGTTGCACCATAACGAACAAATAAAAAAAACTGTTTTTTGTTTTTCTTTTTTTTTTTAAATAATCAATTAATTAATGGTGCCGGAACAATCACCTAACTTTGCTGTCTTGTTTCATTTTTGTATTAAATCTTCTACCCACTTCTGTCTACACTGTTCTACATTCTTCTGCATGGCGTGGTTGGTTGGTAGTGGAAAGGAAGAGAATGCTCTTCCCAACAAATTGCAAGCGCACTTGTAAGATATTTACCATTATTTATTATTACTCAATTCTCGTTCCATCATTAATCATCATTAACGTTTCGCACACATGTCGTTCTCACACGTGCCTTTATGATTTTCTCACCCTATTTCTTTAGTTCACATTCACGCACACACAAACACACCCACACAGTATACGTATTTATATCTTACGTTTGTCACATTCGATCTAACGATCATTGTCTCGATTTTTTTGACACATGTGAATGTAGAACGTAGTTAGTAGCAAACGTGTCGTCGTGATGAACACAAACAAGCACACACACGCAGAATCATTGAACGATTATCGGATCGATCGTGCTACTCACTGGAATCGCAATTATCGTTTTTTCTTCCATTCTGTGCCAGTCGCCTATTCCCCGCCCGTTGTTGCGTACGAGAGCCTGAGTAACGTTGTTGTTTGCAATTACCGCTGCTTTGCGTGGCGAATGATGTTCTTCGTGGTGGAACGCTTCGCAGAGCACACGTGCCGCCCGATCGATGGATCTTCCCTTTGCTCCTTGGTTTCACTCGCGTTCACGCCTTTCCTTTGAGTACACACGACCGATTCGTTCCGCATGCCGTAATATTATCCTTAGTTTTTCGGGTGTAACACGCCTGATTTGAGATAGTAGCCTAGAATACGCGAGATTAGAAGTGAAACGAAAACCCTGTGCCTCTCCCACTTGTGGTAGCTTGTGTACGATCCCTCGGTCCCCATTGGAATCCCGATCCTTCCTATCCTCGTGGTAGTACATACTACTATGTAGTCGTGTAATCGTTTAGACAGAACGAAAAAGAAAACGAACTCCTACCGTTTCCCCGAACGAGACGAAACAAAAAGGCCCAAAAAGAAAGAAACGTACGGGAGTTGTGCTGTACGTGTGTGCGATGCTTACAGGAGCCTAAACCCTCGGCTTCTTAGTCTCTCTTTTTCTCTCTCTCTCTCTCTCTCTCTCTCTCTCTCTCTCTCTCTCTCTCTCTCTCACGATAACATTTAACGATACTAATGCTTTCGGTGGAACGTGTCTCACCGACACCCCCCCAGTGCACAACACGCGTAGAAACGAGCAACATTACTAAGGTAGCGTACTTACACACGTTTAAGGTTCTCGCGGACTCGCTCGAAATGTTGCGTGCAGTTCCAGGGCGCCTTAACAACACCGTTCTGATAATCTTCCGTGTTCCCGCCGTTCCATTTCGATAAGGAACGTGACAAATGTAGCATTGGAATTATTAGAATTAAAGTCACACCGTCATCGATCATTTGGTACGTTAACCTTAATACCACGTGACTCGGGGATTCCTTTACTCTTTACTCGCGTGTGCGTTTTTTTTTTTCCTTTCTTTCTCTACCTATATATTTTTTTCATTTCTCTTCCCTTCTCTAGCGCCCGCAGTCCACCGTCCTCCGTATCGATCCACCGAAATATTCATATATTCATTCACGATCCTTTAAGCATCGCCACGTTACGATCAATACCGCGGTAAGGCATACTTTTTTAAGTTGCGTGATTAATTGATAATCTGTTTCCGACGCAGGGCATGGCTGAGAGGCGCAATCGTCCTGGTCTTTCTGTTGGGACTCACATGGACGTTCGGGCTCCTCTACTTGAACCAAGAGTCCGTCGTGATGGCGTACATCTTCACCATACTGAATAGTCTGCAGGGGCTGTTTATCTTTGTGTTCCATTGCGTACAGAACGAGAAGGTAAGGGAATACGTCGGGGTCCAAACGTCTACGTTACTTTAAGACCACCCTGAAATCGCGAACTAATCACGAACGGTCGTGAATCGTTTGCTAAGTACTGTAAAGAGTTTGTTGTTAATTACGATGATGTCACGTGATCTCTTTCTTTAGTTTACTCGAGAGTACGATATTACTATACGCATGTAAGTCTCGCGATTCTCTGTTTAAGTTCACCGTTAAAGTTCGAATCGATGACGCTATGAAATAGAAGATAACGGAAGATAGAGAATCAATTGTCGAGCAGGCAGCATTTTATACATATATATATATATATATATAAAGATTGTAAAACTGTTTCTATCGTAAGTTAATGATACGTTACTTAATCACGAGTCAAGCATCTTTGTAACATAAGAATTCCATGCAGTGTGTATCAAAGCGGATTCTTCATTATTATTATTATTATAAGTGCGAGTAATTCTTAGGCAAGAGGATCTCACCCGTGAATGGGATCACATGTTACCACCGTCTCGTATAAACAGTATCACACAATGAAAAAAAAAAAGAAACAAACATATTGAATGACAAACAGAACGATGTCTCGAATAAAGTGCTGTGGCAATCCAACAATCGCCCACGTTTATTCGACGTATCATCCGAGGGATTATCCTTGTAACTCTGATTTGCAGTTCATCGACCCTCTTTCGTTTCGTTTTAATCACCACGAAACCGTGTTTACACTTTGGTTGCCACCGCATTATGCACCGCTCTTTTCCTAATTTCGCTGTAAATTCGGCACGGAAACGCTTCGTAAATATTCCGTTGATCGTTCCTTGTCTTCGAGTTCTCCAATTGCCATAAAATCATACACGTTTCCTCGGCAAAAAAAAAAATACCTACCCGGTCCCGAGGACTTTTTTTTCCTTTTTTATGTTCACCTCTACATATCTTGACGTATTCTTTTTTTTTATTTATCATGCGTCAAACGACGAGAAAAAAAACGGAATAGAAAAGAAAAAGGATAGAACAAAACACGCGTTCGCACTTTACCTTGGTTCTTTGTGCACCGTTAAAAAAACGTTTCGTTCGGGGGGTGGGTTTGCTTTGCAATTCCAGGTGAGAAAGGAGTACAGGAAGTTCGTGCGCCGCCATTCGTGGCTGCCCAAGTGCCTGAGGTGCTCGAAGACGGTGACCGGAAGCTCGGGCGGCTCCTCCGGCACCAGCGGCGGTGCTGCCGGCGCGAACGGCGGCAAGGACTTTTCGTCGCACAACACCTCGTCGAACCCGTCGGCGCCTACCACGGACAGCTCGGGATTGTCGCCGCATACCGCCTCCAATGTGGGTACAACACCGACCACCACGTCACCGCCGAACAATCACAACAACCTGACCGCCGCCTGTAACAATACGAATCTTTCGATAAACGTGAACCTGAACAATTTGTCGCTGAGGTCGCCGGTCGGGGCACACCAGATGCACATGATGGCACCTAGCAACCACAATAGGCATCCCGCTCAGCAAGGTATCCGATAGCCGCTTCTACACCAAACCGAGAAACGTATTTTTGTGATCGTACGACAGTTCTCGAGTCACACGGGCCTTTTATATATTTCGCGATAGGGAGGGGGTTGGGAGGGGTCGAACAAACCTTGAATACGACCGAAATACACATGATGGGGGGAGGGGTACTTTCATTACGGCGGAGGGACGAATTAAAAATAGGTCTCTCTCTCTCTCTCACTGTCCCGTTTGTCTGTCTCCCACTTGCACTTTAACTGGATAGTTCTCTCTCGTCTTCTCGCAAACGCTCTCTTGTATTAATCTCTTCCGGTTCTCCCTCCCCACCACTAGGTCTATCGCTTGTTTCTGCCAGTAACGCAAGTATGATTAATGGTACTGGAATTAATAACACACTCCCTCTATCGCCGCTCTGTCGCTCATTCCAAGAACGCCGACCTGCCCTCCTGAGTTGATAACCCGCCCGGGAGGTTCTTGCACCTTTATCGGGGCGAATTCCTACGTCCGGCGATGCAACCAAGGGCCTCTTTCTCTCTCTCTCTCTCTCTCTCTCTCTCTCTCTCTCTCTCTACGCTGCACGATCATCTACGGAGATCAAGAGGAATGGTTTCCTACTCATGTGTCTCCTTCTGTTTTTCACTTCAACGATGCACCGCGACGGTTTCAGAACGCCTTGCGTAAGAGACATCGACAGACTTTCTCGCGTCTTCTCATCCTCTGTTCTCCTGTTGAATTCTTCTGAATTCGGCGTAGAATCCAATTATCCGAACACTGTCGGGATAATATCGTAACAGACGACTGATTTCCGTAAATTGAGAGTCGACTTAGACACGCTTCAGTAGAATCCCCACGTAGACACCGCAGGACTTTTTGAAACGCCCCGTGGCATCCGAGTTAAGCGTTCTTTACCACTGTTAAAAACGCCACCCCTAGGCTCTCTTCTTCCGTTTTGTATAATATGCTAATTTCGACCGCATAACCCCCTTTCGTATTCGTGGTATGGGCGGCTCTTCTTTCTTTTCTCGTTCTCTTCTTCTTTTTTTTTTTAATGTGTTACCCCAAGTCTGTTCCAGGATATATTGCGAAGTGGGTGTGTCTTCGACCCCCTTCTAGTCGAGGGTGATTCGTTTCGAATCGTCGTTGCGTAACGCACGAAAGTGGCGCGTGCCTGAACACATACACACACATACTTTTTTAACGTCACCCGGGAATCGCTTCGCCGCCTTGAAAACGCTGGCTCCGTGGAGCCGGGGGACGAGCTAAAAAGGCATTTAACGAACCGTTCGGACTCTTTAAATCCTGTCGCGTTCACATGTGGAGAGAGTGTTTAGAGGGGAAGAGAGATAGGGATGAGAGACAGACAGAGTGATAGGGGTAGAGGTTTGGAGGGGGGGTAGGGAGAGAGAGAAACACGCACAGGGAAATAGAAACAAGTAAATGGAGAAAGGACAGGGAGAGAGAGAGAGCGAGAGAGAGAGAAGATATTATTAAACATGTTTATATCGCTGTTGCGTGGAACAAACAGCGATACCACATGGTTGTAGATGAAACGATAACTACGAGTCGCGGTGTACCGTTGCATTTCCACGGGAAATATTTATTGCCAATTGTCGGTTTATTTTATCGGATTTAGCACAACAGCGATTACTAAACTCGTCCCGCGCTCAGCGACTGGAAATGACGAATGACGGCGAATGACAATTATATAATTGCATCGGGTCTCCTTGTTTTTCTGTTTCTTTTTATACGGTTCACGAATTTACTGGATTTCCGCCAGTGAATTCGCCCAATTTCAGGGATGGTATCGTAGTTGTCCGACACAGACGATCCTCCACGTATAATTGTCAATCGAGAATTCGATCGTGTTTTCCACACTTTTTTTCTCTCTCTCTTTCTCTCTTTCTGTCTCTCTTTGTCCCGGAGAAATTCGCTCGGTTCTTCGAGGAAACGTTGAATGCCGTACGAGCACGACGAAAGAAACAGTTCGTCGCGGTGAACATCGATCTACGGATCCTCGAGCACCAGCCGAAACATACAAAAGCACGTTCTCTCGCTCGTATCTGCACACCTTTTGTAAAACACGCGAACGTACTATTTGCAAGATCTTCTACTAACAAAATGGTGATTTTCGTGCTTCTTATCTGGCTCTGGGTTTGGTGTAACGCGGTTGCTGGCTACTTTGTACCCTGTTCCCTTCCATCATCCCCCCAAAACCACCCTCCCCCCCTATACACCCTATTCACCGAAGTATTCTTTTATTGCGATGTCCCTGGCGGACTGCGCGCCCGTGTATCGCGCGGTTCGCCATTCATTTCAGATGTTCCGGATCGTTAATGAAACGCTTCGACGTGGCACACGCACGAGAGACGTAACGAATCCGTAACATCGATGATTTACAATCGGCTTCGCAGCTGCGCCTCTGACGGCCACTACCACCCCATCCGACACTTTCACCCATTTCTGCCCACTGGCTGCCTGACTTTTGCAAATTGCGATCGCAACGCAAAATCTGCATACACATTAATACGACTAAATCGACGATAAAGATCGTTACGTGCACGCGATCATGCATTTGCAACACTAATCGTAAAGGAGCATGTTCTTCGTGTCTTGACGACGAAGAAGAATCTCTAGAGAATGGTTCGTAATTCATACGCTGTGTAATAATGCTTGAAACGAGCTAAATGCATAAATACGCTTTATTATGTTCAATAGAAAATTGTATGAACCTTTTTTTATTCAGATATACAGGGTGAGTCAATAAAGAACTACTATCTATAATAACTTGTTACCCATTAATTGTATCAGAAAACGTTTTTATGAATTATATAGCACTTTAAGGGACGCATCGGATAGAAGCAATTTGATTTTTCTTATATCTTATTTGTTTTTGCGATATTGAGGTGATCTTGAGTTTTTTGAAAGTCAGCGTATCTTGTTTTTAATACCACGTTGTTATTGATGGAACTGACTTTGACAAAAATTAAGGTCACCTTGATATCCTCAAAAACAAATAATAATTCATAAAAACGTTTTGTGATAGAACCAATAGGTAATGAATTATTTTAGACAGTAGCTTTTATTGACTCGCCCTCCTGTATATTTCCAGTTTGTACAGGCTGTCGAAAAATTTATCGTGTAACTAGCTGAGTACCATACAATCTTCTGCAATTAACGTTCCACCATACAGTTTTGTACGGCATCTCTGGAATCTGTCGCGTATGTACCTACACAAGAAACAAAAAAAGTCACCAGCAGCCCCTGCTGCGAGGCCTGAACCAGGGGAGTGTTCCTACATTCCGATCCGCAACATCTGCTCTAGCAAGTTAGTCATGGCTTCCACGGAAACCTGTTCGTCGCTTATCGAATCCTTTTTTTTTTTTTATGTCTCGCGGCACCAACGCGTGAGCCGACCGGTAACGCAATTACACGGCGAATATATATATATATTTAAACAAACTTCCATGGACCACGAAGAAAGTATATATGTGTATATACGTTCCGAAAGATTCGTAATGTACGAGCGAATGTTGTTTCACCGGACGTGGGCAGAATGCGATTACACAGTCGCACGTTGCACAGGCCTTATATCGTTGTTAGAAAATTCATAAACTTACAATTAAAGGTTGACGAGTCCCGTACTATCGAATTCTGCCCACGCGGAAAGATACTTTTAAGCCGCCCGCCCACAGCCGAGCGGTCGTTCGATCGAAGAACTTGACTCGCTTTAATTTATTCGTGACTTCGCTAGATTCCCTCCCGCGCCGACTAATCGTCGCTCTTCAATCGAACGCTTCGGTCCAGGCCCTCAACTCCGAAAAGAAAAGAAAAGAATACTTTTTTTCAACATCGGTCATTTAACCCCCCCGTAAGACAGTGGTGAAATTGTCGGGGCTGAAGAAAAAACAAAATCACCGCGAACCAATCCCTGCCACGTCTCTCTCACACCTCCTTCGCAGCACACACACACACACACACAACATACGCGGGTACGCACGATGGTCACTTTTGCTCGACACACACACACGTACTCCTTTTTCTCCTATTTTTTTTTTTGCTCTACCCTCGTACCGTGAGTTTCGCTAATTAAAACCAGGTGCACATTCGCGCGATGGGAGACGCGAACGTTGCGGGGTAACACGGATCACGTAAGCCTCTAAGGGCCGGTTCAGACGTACGCGTTCGCGGCAGTTTGATGTTTCGAGCAGATCACAGATATTCGTATGAAACGGTTCACACGAGACGGAACTTTTTCAACGATTATTAGCCGGCCGTGTTTACGTTCGTCGCGACCAGGGGTTTAAATTGATATACTTTCTAAAAATTCGGGTTTTCTCGGCCTCCTGTCTAGGTACAACCCCTGAACATTTTGACTGCTACGTCATCCAAATGTAGATGACACGTAGATTGCAAAGAAGCAGGATTATTTAAATACCGTTACATACTTATTGTATAAAATTAATGTCACGGTATAATTTAAAACAATACCAAGAGCCTCTATTAACTAAATACATACATTTCCGACGACATATGGCTTAAAAACCGAAATCAAGTCTGTCTGGTTACATATGGATTATTTTACTGTGGCAGTCAACGAGTTGAAAATCGAAATGACGCGTGTCTGACTACGTACGTCCTTTTCCACTGTGGAAGTCGACGTGTTAGCGGTCCAGTCCGTTCTTGGAAGGACCAGCTTCGGTATCGCGTTATTTCGTCCATAGAACATTCATAAAACGTTCAAATCCCCGTGGATTTTCTAATTAGCGAACGCAAGATAAAAAAGACTACCGATAATAACGATTTCGCCGTCGTGGTACAAATTATATTTACGTCCCCCTGGAAACGGTCCCCTCGACAACGGTCAATATCATGCCTGTTTCTTCGCGAACGTGAACGACCCTGGTCCCAGGCACGGTTGTACGTCAACGCCGCGCAAACGAGCAACCGGCCCGGTTCTCGCCTCGTTACAAGAGTACAGTAAGAAAAACGAAAAATAAAAATAAGGAAGACTCGTTTTCCCTCGCGCCACGATCTCGCGTGTCGCGTCTCACCTTGCTTTCCGCCGTCTTATTACCGCCACGGTAAGAAAGAAAAAAAAAATTGATAATCGCGGACACGGCGGAACGAAACATTCCTGAATGAGATCCACGATCGAGGCAGGATGCCCTCGTATCGTCTGATTTTAGAATCTTGTCGTATCAATTCTAATGGGAACCACTTAATGACGATCGGGGAAGAGCCGTAAAACTACGCGAATGCCGCTCTGTGATTTCGCGACGCGTTCTCGTTAAACTCGAGAGATTCGAAATAATAATGAGTTGTTGCGTTACGAGGACTGGATGATTCCCAAGATTATCTTCCTCCTTGGATCGGGAAAAAAATAACGAATCTCGATGTCATCACAAGGAAAACGAGAAAAAACTTGGCTGATCGCGCCAACCGGAAGTCTGTTCGTAGACCTCGCGTGACTCGTCCCAGTACAATCCGGAAAACTGGGTGCAATCACGTACCGTTTCGCGCGTCGGGACAAAAACACACGGACACACGGGTGTACTTGGTGGGCCCAAGGTGTGCGTGCTGACGTCGCGTATCTCAGCCTGTTACGTCGTAGATTCGCCCTGTGTACGAGTTAAATCCGCCACCGCTTCCGGCGAGGATCGCAACTCCGCGAGATATTGTCGGATTTGCCGGGCTCCGTATCTCCCGTGTCCGTGACGGTTCCGAAGGGGTTGCTGGAACGAAGGGAGGAGGGACGACGGGTACTCGACTTGAAACTGTGTCACACGAAATCCCGGTAATTCGTTCCTCGCGACTGAAATCCGTGCGCATAACTCCCTCGTTTCGTGGATTAACAAAAATTTGGCCGAAATTGAAAGTACCATTTTTGTAAGGCTCCGACTACTTTTCAATCGTACCGGGATTTGAGACATCGATGATGCAAGGTGAATGATATATATGGCTTTCGTGAGATTCGTGTAACCCTTTGTTTACTGGGCTCGGCGGAAGATTTCGATAGAGCCAATCAACCGGCTGAGTTTTCACCTAACTGTTTTGTACTCGTAAGTAAATATTACACACATTTACGCTCTAAATCCCCACGTGTGTATACGACGACTAAAAAGATCGTTTCGTTTTTCCATTACCGTTCGGATGTATAATTCGACAATTAATCCGTTATAGAAAGAACACGATCAGTCGTATCTTCCAAAACACTTCGAGTGTGTTCCACTCTACACACGTGGAATCGTAGCATAAACCTTCCACAGAACACTCGGCGAAGCCCTCGATTCACACGTATTTATACACCAAAACTCGCTTCCATTTTCCTTTTCCCACACAACGAATCAGTAAACGAAGGGTTAAAAGGAAACGGCGAATGGTGTTCGATTTTTACAGTACCTGGCGTCCGGTCGAAGCTGGGCGATAGTCGATAGGCAACCAACAGTAACAGTGCCAAGTGAATCCTCTCCAACAGAGGCTCACATCGTGGCCACCCTGCCGTACGCCCGTCACGCCTTCTTACCCTCAGCTCCCAATATCCCCAAATCTGCCACCGCCACTTGGGGCCACCTTAACAAAAACCTCATGTGGAAGGTAACTAACTCACCGCAAGCTAACGCTCGCCTAAAAAATACACGCTCGCTCGCTCGTTTCGTACTTGTACTCGAACGAACATTGCATCTGTCATTCTACTTCTTGTTCACGACGTTTCTTTACCTATTCACTGCATGGTGTGCCGTGTTTTTGGTCGTTTACCGTAATATCACTTGTTTTTTTTTTCTTTTTTCGTATTTAACCAGCACCTAGATCACACAATCTTGCACACTTAAAGGGAACCACTCCTCGACGGTTCGACGGGTAATACCCGACCGCTTCCGGAAAAGCATGGAGGTGTGGGGAATAATGTTCCCGACGAGAAATGTTTCCCCTCCTATCCTTTCTCACGTCGTTCGTTTTCGGTCGCCGCGAACTTTCGTTCGGAATTTATCGACGTGGAATTGCGAGAAAGACTGTGTGTTTTTTTCTCCCCCTTCCTCCCCTTCCCCCTATTTCGTCGCGTCGATATCGATGAAATTCAAGAGAGTTCGTACGGCTTGCGATTGCGACGACGATCCTGAAGTTTCCTCTCACGAACACAGAAAAATATCAAGACGGATGGACGTATTTTCTTTACCTGTCTGTACGCGTAGTTCTTTTTGTCTGCGTGTGTGTGTGCGCGCGTGTTTAATTTACATTCGGTAGAATGAAGAATGAAAACGATTATAGTACTTGTACATATCATACAGCACGTAAGGAATTTTTTGTCCCGCTCATCCTTTTTCGACCATGCATGCGAGCTCGTGAATTATTAGTGAAACGTTCTCGAGCAAAACCGAGGAAAACATCCTCGTTGCTCTCCTCATTCGATTCATCGATGCCGTGAAAACGAAGATCTTGCGTTTCGAAGTCTCGAATAATTAACGTGGATTACTATAAACAAATATTCATATTCTGTAAAAATAGAAATTGCAAAGATCAACGTTCACGTCATCTCGACCCACACCTACCCTTCGGATACCAAACATCACACGACTTATAGTAAATCATCGATGAGTGTTCGAAGACTCCTCGGCTCTAAGTGTTCAGACGTCATCCCTACCACTGGGGTCCCCCATGAAACCAATCGAGCGTCCAGTAGTGAGGATAACGTCAGAACCCTCAGTTCCTAGATGCCTTCGAACACTCATCGATGATTTACTGTATTTTCTATTCCTCATGAACCTCCCCCATCGGTCTATCCGCCGAGAATCAAATGACTGAACCAAATCTATCTGTCCCACAGAACATTTCTTTTAAATCGTATTCCCGCGACTCTGGACACGGCGGATCCGAACAGGAGGACTCACCGAGGACGCACAACACCTTGACGCTGGGTCACTCGGGCCGGAATCGTGGGGCCCGAGTAATGAACGAGAACAACGAGATCAGCGGCACCAGGACCACCGGGGGCGGTAGGAGAGTCGCGATGCCCTACAATCACACCTACACGGAGATCATCGACGGTCGGGCCAACGGTCCGGTGCATCATCAGCTGCACGGTCATCACGTGCATCTTCCACGAGGGCTGGCAAACGAGGACGATCCGGTTTACGAGGAGATCGAACGGGCTGGTGTCGGCGGGGTCGGTGGCGTCGGTGGCGGCGAGATTCAAGTCTCGGACATGTCCGACGAGGATGGTAGGAGGCAGAGCGACATGAGCAGACAATCCTCGAGGAGTTACGGTGATCACAGGCCGTTGATACCGTACTCACCGGCCACGGATCGAAATCTGGTGCATTACGGGCAAACTTTGACGGACCGTGGCGGCGGTGGGAACCTTCACTACGACCCATCCGAGTACAGTCCCGCGGTGGAGAGGACCCTAAACGCTTGCTGGGAGAAACTGCGCAAGCAACAGGCCAGGTTCGAGCGGGGCGAGCTGCCCCGTCTTCCCGTCACCTACGGTATACCGCCCCAGCAGGATCACACGCGAACGGTCGCGGTCCTGGACGGTCAAACGGTCGTCTGCCATCTCCAGCCGCAGACAGACAACATGTACACCGGCCGCGGTATGCCGCCGCCATCCTACAGCGAGTGTTAGGGCACGGCTACGATCGCAGGAACATGTCGTCCTCTTGGTCTTCCTGCACGAGGACGACCGATTCGCAGCTCCCCGCTGAGGCACCAGTTCACACCTGGATCCAGCGTTGACGGATCATGGTGGCGGGTCCTTGCCACGAACCCAGACGGTTCCTCGTGATCCCATCGGACGACGACGACGTGTGGTTCGTTCCTGATGAAGTCCACCACCCATTCCGAAGCAACCGCGATGCGTCCACAGACCAGCGTCCGCTTGTCCATTGGGTGGACGATCAACATGCGTTTTTAGCTCAAACGTAAACGCGGCTGGCCGACGATGCCGCGTTTTCTAGCCATAACCGATTAACGCCAGCAGGGGGGGGGCGGGTCCGCCTGACGACCGGCCCTCTTCTATTTTTTGTTTCCGTTTCTGTTAATACTTCGTGGGTGGCAACGGGGAATCGCGTGGCCGCCAATCGCGGAGTACCGACCACCAACCGGACGTGTCACGTCCTCGTGTTGGCCGTGCGAGTGTGTGTGTGTATGTGTGAACCGCTGGGAATCGAATTCCGTTGCGATAGAACTAATACGACGGACACCATTTCTCGTTTCGTGTGAATCGTCGTCGATGACGTCGAGGCGTGTTGTTTTGCGAGATCGACTAACAGTAACGAGTGTCTCCGCGGCGGGAAATGATAAAACGTGACGATGTCCGCTTTATCGTTAGGTCGAAAGGCGTATCAAGGGATCGATGCGTTTTGTGAATACGGAGATCGCGTTCGTATCTCGCAACTACGAGGCAAAAGCCGAGGTTATCTTCCTCGTAATATTCGGCGACGATCTTGTTTTTGTTTCTTTTTTCGTTCGTCGTGTCTCCGCGAAGCTGCTCGTCCCTCGTGCGTGTCGTAATCAGAGGAGCTCGATATCGTCGATGCTGGCCCCCTTCGTTTCCTTTAACGAGAAAGCGTGTCTCGCGGTTTTGTCTCGCGATCGTAACGAGAATCTGTTCAGAGATCGAGAGAGAGAGTATGCATCGTGGACGAGAAGCAGAAATCAGTTAGACATATCGACGTCGATGGAGATGTTTCGACGGACGCGTGTGCGTTGTGTGTGCGTGTGTGTGGAACGTTTCCTCGTTAACGGTGTCGACGTGCATTCGATCTTGATCCCCGACGGGAAATCGGTGACGACTCGATAAAGGGATTTAGCTTGTGTCTACTTTTGCGAACTCTGTCTCCGCGGCGTTTACCGATGAAATCCGCCGTAAATCGCTGTTTCTCCCCCTCCCCGAGACGTAGAGAAAAAAAATCAAGTAATTACTTAATCGCAATATCGCATTATAAATTTAGTGATCGCATCGTAGATAGGTGTACACCCCCGATGTGGAGCATTCGCGACACGTGTGTGTACGGTGAAGAGGTTTTTTGCTCGGACGGGTAAAAGACAATTCGCGGGATAAATCCTCAAGTTCCGTAGAAGCAAAAGGGAACGTGCCCATTCCGCGAGTCTCGGCGAACGAGGAAGAAAAACGAGATTTCCTTGCGCAAGAATGAAAAATCGAAAATTAACAGAGCTAAGAATACCTTTATCGGTCGTCTCAGCCAGCTCCTCATTGTACATTGCTTTGGAACGTTACGTTTTAGTCCCAGAATGTTATTTTTATAAATAAAAAATTATATATATAAATGTATATGTATGTATACAGTAACGGTATTATATATATATATGTATGTATAAAAAAAGTAATTCGACAAGAGGTTAAGTTGCGAATGGGGGAGAATTGTACGAAGCAGGTATAAATATATAAATATATATATATATATATATATATAATACATAGTGATACAAAGCGATTTTCCGAGCGACGTGGAAAAAGCGAAAAACAACTTAGTCACTGTTTTTTACTATTTTTTAAAAAACAAAATGGTATATGTCGTAATACCGCGTAATCTAATGCGTAACTAAGGGAACCCGCGCGCTATTTATTTTTTATCAACCCCGTGAGTGTTATCTAATGTATAATTAGCGGTCGTGCTCGTGGAACGACGATCGAGAGGGCTGCGGGATCGTTCCGACAACATATCGGATTCCGTGGATCCGCCCGACCGGCGGTCTCGATGGTCGAGTCCCCGGTGCCGAGATTCTGTGCTTGCAAAGAAGACCTTTTTCGTCGACGAGTGGATAAGAAGAACCGTATAAGACGGACGAATATCGAGCGATCGAGAAACGACTTCTAAAGCTCGGTATTCACCCCGAACCGATACGAAACGGAGATAAAGACACCGTTGGTTTTGTTTTATCTAGGTAACGAGCATCGAACACTGTATTTTCTTAGCCGCGTTAAAAATTTTATTTTCTCACCGAGAACCGATTCCGCGAGCGAAGGAACATGCCAAATTCTCCTGAGACGCTAAAAACGCCAGAATTCAATGAACGTACAGCGATGCTACCGAAGTTACTCGGTCGTTTTGGTGCTTTTTCGGTACGTCAAGGTTCGTCGACGAATGACGGCACCGATGTATGTCGATAAGAATTTTCTTGACTGTTCAGAAGTTTGTCCGGAACACAACAAAAAAACCGAGAGAGATACTTGGTCATTCGTAATTTTGAAATATCTACGGGATAAGATTGAACGAGTGATTTTCGAAGCATCGTTGCAACCTACTGTTAATTCGCAGGCGGCGATTTCAGCGCGTACAGTTTTTAATTTATTCCACTCTGCTCAGCCGGGCCCGGCCGTGATCTTTCTCTCTACGGCGAACCGTACGTTAAGACGAACTAACTCTATAGGCGAATTATAAAAACTAGCGATAAATCAGCGTTAAAGGTACCACACAGCTATAATTACAAGCATTGCGGGCCGTTTATCCGCCGTATCGTCCGAAACGAGAAATTTTGCTCATTCTCTGGCGTCCGCGACAGAACATACACACAACCGTTCCGCGGTATCCTGGTTTCTCGCAGGCCCTTCGCACACAACCGTGACACCGTGAGAGGAACAACAGCCCGAAACCGTGTGTCCGTACTAGGAACGACGAGAGATCGTATATACGTATCGGTTTCGTGAGGCCACGAAGAATTCAGCCGTCTTGTTTCGTGCATCCGTAGATCGAGACCACCGTATAATATTTTTTTACCGGATCGTCGCGTACCCGTCACGGTGGGGATCGAATTATTATATAATCCCGGGAGAAACCTTCTTTTGTAATATTTTTCCATTCTTCCACTTGTAGACATTCCTTTGTTGCCATTCAGTGAGCCACTCGCGGATACGCTTCTGTGTCGATTAAAAGAAACTCACGGAGGACCACGAAGCATCAAACGAAAGATACTCGATGTGCGCAAAAAAAAAAACGAACGGGAACGTAATCTCCGGGTGAGAGTGTTTGTTGACAAATTTTTTTTTGCCAAATGGTTGTCTCAGACGTTCTAATCTCTCGGACGCAAAGTGGAGCCGTGCCATTCGATATCTAAAATCCTCGAGTTTACGAGACACACCAACGCGGTACGCGACGACGATGACGTCCCGTTTTTTTTTTTTAAACGTTTTAAGATTTCAATTGTTCGACACGTGCTAATTGCGTGATCATCGAGAATCACCAACGGCGCAAGTTCCAGCGACCATTTAACTAGCGTTTTTGTTCGAGGCCGCGTACGCGAGAGCCACAGCCAGTCGTGTATATGAATCTTTTGTAACCGAGCGAAAGGTCTTGCCGCGCGAAACGACTACTGCCAGATATACATATATACATATAATCGTAAATGTGCAGCCACATTCCATCCGTTCGATTTATCGTGATCGAAAGAGACGAGGGGCGATTAAAGTGTACGGGGGCCGAGTAAACGGGGGACAACACTTGGGAGGGCGCTGTGCCCGGTAATGAATAGAGAAGCGACCGATTTACGATTTGCATATCCTTTTCCGTTTATTTCCTGTTCTTTTTTTTTATTTCCTTTGCATCTATAACGGCGTAACCGGCGGGCCATTGATGAAAAAGAAGACACAAATAGACACACAAACACATACACACTCTGCTGCGGTGTACAACGCATTAGGCTCGAAATTGCAAAAAAGAAACATTCTCCGAGAACGATATTTCGCGATACACGATTTGTATATTCGTGCACAGTGTTCAGCGTGCAATCATCTCCGTGTATACTCGATATTTAAATATAATTCAAGGTGATACAAAATTCCGTCGTGATCTTATAGTTTCTTGATATTCGTACAAAAAACCAGCGAAAGTTGACACAATCACGTTGAGCCTGATAACTTGTACACCTCTGTACGGTCACGTCTCTTGAAGGTTTGTTGCGTGTGAAAGGAGAAAAGGAGAGAGAGAGAGAGAGAGAGATAGCGTATATCGTCGGAAAACTCTCGAAGCAAGGTGTATATAATGTAAATAGGGCTTTGTACATGTTGAACACTTGTAATGTATATGGAAAAGTGCGTGGAAAAAGAAAGAGAGAGAGAAAGAGGAAGAACGAAAGCGTGTCGAGAATGTAGAGTGCGTGAGATGAGACGAGAATGAGGGGCAAGCGATGCGAACAAGATTAATGTGAACACAGAAATGAAGATACACTAGATAAGACAAGTTACTAGTAAGTAGTGAATATTACAGTGACTATTATCGTGATGGCGGATGCGTGAGGCGGTTAACTTAAGTCCCCCCAAATTGCGTAATTAGTTAATGTGTAAATAAATTAAGCGAGGAAGTAAAATATTAAATGAAAAGCCCAAGTAATCATTGGATATTTATAACGAGTCTCCACCGAAAGAGAGAACGGAAACGAGAGCGGAAAACAGTAACAAAAAAAAAACGAAGAATAAACTGGAAAGTACACACCACCCGTAAGGTTCGACGAGAGAAAGAGGGGAAGCGTACAGATATATACAGTGGACGTGAGCACTCGTCCGTGCGTTAGGTTACTATTTTGCGAGAGAGAGAGACAGACATACGTTTAAGGGAAACCGAAAGACACTCAGAGCGACAATGGAAAGAAGGAAACATGCCAAGAGGGTAGGAAAAGCGCTAAAGAGATTAGAAAGGGAAAGATTATGATTATTGTGCAACAATTAATCAGATGGACAGATATACAGTGCATGTTTTATCCTTAGCTGTTTTATAAATATTAAATCTATCCCTCTCCCTTCCTCCATCGTACCCTCCCCTACTCTCTTTCTCTCTCAATCTCTCTCGTTCTGCCCTCCTCCTCCTTTCTTCTCTTTCACGCGACGAATTGAAACCGCGAAACTTCTCTCTGATCGAGTACACACTGACTCCGTTCGTATTGTCCAATATTCGAGATATGTTCCTTTCAACCGTTAATGTCGTTTTCGTTAATTTTCGTCTCCAATCACGATCGCAAACTTATACTTGTCGAATATGCTTTCGTTTCGCGCGCAAAGGAAAAGGAAAAAACACAAAAGACAAAATAATACCGGACTAGCGGAACAGAGAATGGAATCGGCCAGCATCCCCAGAATCTCTTAACCCCTTCCATCCTCCCCCGCAGCCATCCCTTCCTGGACTCGCACACGTTGAAAGTATCCGGATATTTTTCGAATCGGCCTTTTTCTAAACCCGTTTTACCCGAAGACGAGATACACATCCCCACACGACGACTGCAACCGATCCGCAACCGGACAATCGCAGAATTTCGAACGGAACCGGCGCGCGATACTACACAACCATAAGGGATTCGTGAAGATTCTGTGATCTTACCGTTTATGTTTCCTCTTTGTAAGTGATATCTAAAAATGAAAAATAAAGGTAACCGAGATACGGACACACGCATACGTAACACGGTTTTCAGCATGCAGAATACCTACGCGCGCGTAACGTTCTGTTCCCGTGGAATCCATCGCCTGCCTGCGTACGCTGACAAAAACAAGCAGAAGACAAGAAAGGGGAAGACCGAAGAACGAACCGAAGAAGATAAACGAAGATTTAACAAATGAATAAAAAAAAAGACGAGAAAAAAACGAACAAGAAGGATTGTAAAGTCTAGGTATCTCCGATCTACTAAGTCTCCGTTTCTTCATTTTTGTATGCTTCTTTAAGACTGTCTGATACAGAAAAAAAGGATAAATAAATGTGTACCAATCTCTGAATAAAATCTGGCCTATTTATCTCGCCCAATGAAATACTTCGTATAGCCTATGTTTCAGGAGTGACAGGGAACGTTCTATAAAATGGAGAGGGTTCGAATAAAGTTCGAAAAAAATTCTTGACATATGAAACGAATTTCTAAGTTTTGTTTCTATAACTTTATTGTATAAAAATACGCAAAAGAAACTTGTTCGATGAACCTTATTTCACAGCGCCGAATTCGATTAAACACTTAATCGTGTCTGCGTGGTTGCTTCTACGGGCTGCAACCAATGGCGTCACGTTAAACAATGCTACCGTGTGCACGTCGATTAAATTGTTTTTTAAAATATATCGAACGGCGCAGGTGTTTCCAGTTAACGCGGCCACGTGTAAGATCGTCTGACCCACGTTGTCCGTGGCTCCTACATCGGCTCCCAATTTAACGAGTCGTACCGACGCAGTTAAATGTCCACCCTTTATCGCTTCGTGAAGTGGAGTGGATCCTGATGAATCTTTCGCGTTTAGGAAATCGGAATTCACCGTCGCGAGTCGTTCGATCAATGGCTCGTGACCGTGAAACGCTGAATACAGAAGACATTTTTTTTTATTTTTCGACTCTAGATTGAGTAATATATCATTTCAGGATCTAATGACATCCACAAAATCGTTACCAGCAATGTGCATGGCGCTGCGGCCATTATTGCTTCTATCGTTGATGCAGCTAATCGAGTGTTTCAGTAATAAATCGAAAGCATTTAAATCGCCAGAACGACACACAATGTGCAACGATGTCCAGCCGTCTTTATTTCGAAGAAGCGGATTCGCGTTCGCTTCTAACAGGTTGGCGATACAGCTACAAGCTTTACTTCCGGTTTTAGTACACGCCAACATGAGTGGAGTCCAATCGGCGCGTTTTAAAGGGTCCACGGTGGCGCCTTTATAAATGTAAAGGTACGTATATTAAATATAAAACGGTGTAAGATATTATTATTAAAACCGAAAGTTATCGGAGGATAAAATTTTTTAGGGGTATTGTTTCGGAGAATAGTAACTTTGTACAAATTAAGAAATATTTTGAATTCCAAAAAGTTTGCATTAAACACCTTTTTCAATCAGATAATTTAAGACTTCACTGCGAGCAAATTGCGCCACCTCGTGCAATGGCCTCTTCATATCTTTGTTAGCAACGTCAACTCGGTAATCAGGTTTCTTGAACGATTCGCATAAATATTGAACGATATTCAAATGTCCCTCGCGCGAGGCAACGTGTAAAGCAGTGTCGCCGGAAGTTGAATGCCGGAAAACCGTCCAGTCTTCGATGTCGTATTTCGATACAAGAGTTTCCACTCTATGTAAATCTCCGCTTTGGCAAGCGTGAAGAAATTCCCGTGATAGGTTATGATCCACCATCGTGTTCAACTTTTAATTGAAGTAAAATATCAGACACACAGTAGAAAAATTATCCAAACGATGTATTTCGAACGAATGAAAGGGAACGATAAAAAGTAACATGAAAGATTAAATAATGACGCGCACTGAATTAAAATAAAGTTACTAACGTGTTGGCACTCTGATTAATTGTAATCGCTAGAGGGCTCAAATATTTTCATTCAAAACATTCTAGTAAATCGTATTGTTTACCAGGATTGATGAAAATTTTATTAATTCAATACATAATAATTTATTATATTCTATTTGTATATACATCCTAGAAGAAGACTATATTATCGCTCGTATAAATTAATTCATATTTGATCAACTATCAAACCAACTATCCGGGAGGCATTTAAACGATATCAAAACAGTTTCTTATACTGTTATAGTCTATGGTCCATTCATAGAGCTGTTTAATGTTCGATTATTTGATTCGTCTTAGGAACTGAACTGCTTTGTTTAGCAATAAGTATTTACCTATGTATTTCGAAATTGTTTGATTTACCGTGGAAATTTTCACATCGTTTTCAGATTGTGAACAATCTATGAACTAGACTCACTTCTAATTACCTTTCGACGAATAAGCATAGTAGGTTGCATAACGAAAGGGATATTCTAGTTCACAGTTCCAGCATGTAGATGGCCACAGCTTTGTCTGACTATGAAAGGAACAAACCTCTAACGCATCACGAGATACAATGGTAGAAAAATATGATTCAAACATGATCACATAAATAAATAATTCCAGAATTTATGACAGAAGTGAGGAAACTAAAAAAGACTATTGCAACAATATAAGTAAAGTAGCAATTGAAACACAACTGAGCACAGTCGTCAGAATGCATGGTTTCACGAATTTTACAGTATTCAGATGTTTCAGCAATCTCTCTGTATCCAACATACGATCGCTCTGTCATAGCGAAGCAACCGCAGAGTAATTCAAGCTGTTTTATTTTAAAATATAACAACCGAGGCAGAGTTAATTGCTCCTTAGACGATACAATTAATTGGCTCAATTAGTTAATGTTCCCCAAATGAGTACCAGCCTCTCTTGCGAACTAACTCGGCAACGCTAATGCAGCCGAGCATAGAACCGTTTTGAAAGTAAAATTAATCGTGCGAAACCTATCCTCGCACGTGAGTCATAAGGATCTCGCAATTATAACGTCATAATTGAATCACAGGGTGCGCGTCAGTATCGCCCGAGCATTGAAAACCCTTTCTACTACTCTCGAAATAAGAAAAACGGCCGGAAATATCCCTCGTTTCCGAACATATTTTTTTTAACGATGGACTAAGCTCGAATGTTTTTCACCAATTCGGTTCGACTGGTCTCGATTTATGACGATTGTTAACGATTTGAAGAAAAACGTCCACGTTAACGGAGCATTCGAGGCGTAGCTAATAGGAAGCTGGAGTTATTAGTTTACGTAGAAAGACGATTTCAATTCTTTCCGCGGAATTTCCATAACCGTTATGTCGGCGCGAGATAACAATGCAAATAATTAACCACCAATAAAGCGTTTCCGGGCAGGTTGTGCAACCGAGCGTGTGTGTGTATACGCGACGAGCCGTGCATCGCGAGAAAATCGCTTCGCGTGAACGTTCAAGGTTCGATTAGAACCATCCACCTTTCGCTTCGGTGTAATTGACGGACTGAAGAAGCCACCGCTGTTTCTTGTTCTTCATGATCATCGATGTCCTGTCCCTGTGACAAAGGTAACAGCGACCTTGAAGAAACCCATGCTACCGATCTTCCACTCTTTGATACAAGTTTTTCTTTTAGAATCGTCCGAATTACTCAAAAAACAATTCTCATGATTAAATTTCGGACTGAATTGAATCTTCTTGACGATCATCTTACTAAGTGTCAAAAATTAATGATAATCATGACGCTAATGATTATCACTAATCACTATTGAAACTATATAAAATCGTTAATAACGATCGATAGTGAGTACTGTTACAAACAAACGTCATAATCAATAAGTACTCATAATACAATACTATACACATTAGTACTGCTATTCAATACAATAGTTTGAGTTAACAGTTTCGAATACTACGGACTAAAAAACAACGTTGCTTTGAATTTCGATTATACGCAATATCGATAGGTACATGAGAAATTGTGAAAAAATACATTATTTTCACACAGTACGTACTGTTATTGTCATACGCAGCAATAGACGCATGATCCAAGGATTTATTTATAACCGACCGCATTTGTGCGCGCTGCCGCAAAGGACAGTTCTCCTGCATTATTTCATAGGATGGGATAATCGACGCGGCAGCCTCGAGCAACGAAGGTGTTATTTTCGAATAAGAAGCGAGCGTTTCTGTGCGCGAGCACGCGAAAGAAGGATCTAGGAAACGACCACAGCAGCAACAGAAGAAATCCACGCCACGGGGCGCGTTGGTCCCGCGGCCGAAGCTCCCTTCGCGTCGTGTTATTCTTGTTTTGCTGACTGGCGCCAGCTGATCAGCGTCGTACGAGGATCCGGCCAATTAAAGATTCAATTTCACGTCGAATTATAGTTATCGCATCCTGGGGAAAATGACGTGTTATTACAGGCCAGGACCGTTGCGTCCAACAGCGTCACGACGACTTCTTTCGATCTTCGGTCGGTCAATCGACGGCGAGCGAGGAACGGAAAAAACGGCAATAAACAAAACTTTCAATGGACATTGTAAGCCGGATGAAACTAAGAACGTAATTGAAACTGCAACACATAATACCCGCGGTACGGAGGTACTAAAAAAAATCAGAAATTCCTTCGCCTGGCAACGCGCGCGCACGTTCCCTTCGCGAGCAAAGGTAATAAGCGTTTCTTTTGATCCTTTAGGGCGGGGTGCACGCACCGTGAATTTGTTCACGACGCAAAACCTGCTAATAGTCCGACCAAAAATAGCGTCTTCCACGCTCGACTGTTTTCCTTGCTAATTGTGGTGCATCGAATGAAATGCATAACGTTAATTAGCCTTAATATCGTGATCTTCAGCTGAATACGGAAGGAGGATCGACGATTCTTAATATAAACCCACGTTCCAGACGCGCATCGATCGATTAACGTATTTCGGTCACTTTATCCGCCCGGTGGAAGAGCTTCAACAAGACCAACGCAAAGCATCGATCTCCGTGAATCACATAAATTTAAGTTCGCAGCGGCGGTTGAAAGGGAGATTCATCGTATGCAAATTGTCGATCGATTCTCGGGTGCGCCGGGGTGAATTTATATCCGTGTTCGTCGATGTTACGGCTGACAAAGGAATGGCTGGTACCGTCGTCATCCGAGTGTGCTTTACGAGGCAACCGTTAATAATCAAACGATACAGAAAGTACTTGCTTGCCCCGCGAGTACTTCGATACCACGTGCAACTGCCTCGAGGTACCGAACGGATTGTTCTGTTCGTTCTGCACGTAAATACGTATTGTATAGGAGGGTCTTATCAATCTTTTCGTCGACGATAGTACAGGCACGCGATCCGTTGCGTAGCCGGGACTCCGAGAGTTCGATGCGTGTGACACGGTCACCTTTTCAGAGAAGTTTAACGTTGCTGCCACTGTCGCGTTTCATAAGTCGTTCAAATTGTTATCATTCATTTTCATTGGTTTTCTTTTTTAGGTTCATTGAAATTATTATCGACAGTTAAAGCGTTCTTTTTTATAAACAAAAGAAGCAAAGTGGAATGTTTCATTAAGCACTGCGTAGACATAAATTCCCGATTTATAGAGTAGATTCTACGAAATGAAAAAAAACCTATCCTTTGTCATTAGTAAGTAAAATTATTTAGCGCCATCAGATCAGAAAATCGTGTATGGACACTATTATGGAAATTACAACATCACGGTCATATTGCGAATATTTTCTGAGCAAGACAGATTTCAATCCGGTAGTTACGCGATCGCCAGCGAAAATCGTCACATGTGAGAGCATGGCTGGATCTACTGCTTCAACACCAGTCTGCTCGTTAATGAATTTCCTGTATCGCGTGAATGTCTTGTTCGCAGCGAGCCGATCGATAACCGGTCGGCCGAATGTTTGATCGATTCGCATTGGCATTGACCTCAACCGCCCACGGTCGCGCCACACAGACCACGAGATGGGAAAAATAATAAAATGAGGAACTTGGGAGCCTACTCCGCCTTTTGCATCGTATCGCGACGATCTTCATTGCGTAATCCACAATTTCATACGAATTAAGCAACGATAAGAGTGATCACCGCCTTGGCAATTGTTGGTTCGCGGAACCGTCATTACGTGTAATCGCTTTCGAACTCGACGACGACGAAGATGAAGCACGAAAACTTTTGCACGCGTCGGACAGCCCCGTGATTCGATTTACATCTCTCGACTTTTCTGAAGTTAGACTTTCGAACACGAGTATAGAACTCTTGTTTATGTCAAACAAGAATAACGTAACTTTAATAGCGATCCATGCGACAACACCCATATACCACTTGTCCAAACCAACCTTATCCTTAAACAAACTAAATTGTATAATGTCCCGCTATATTCGTAACGTCGTTTTCACTTTACCAAGAAGACAGACCGTTCAAATAGTTCCGCGAAGACGAAATTGGCCAAAGTTCACGTCCGAAAATATGGCTTAGAACATTCCTTCGTTTCCGAAAATCCTGGCCCCACCGTGCCTTCACATTCCACCGGGAATTCGACAAAACTTCCTACGTCATTGGATCTTATCGAGGTACGATTATACAACGTTTTCGAAACCATTTAATAGAAACATTCAATCTTCCCTGTTTAATTAAGTTAAAAAGCGATGGACGGGTTCGTGGATGAAGAAGCCAACAAAATCTTGCAAAAATCTTGAATATTGCATAATTCATACGTTGGATTGTTTGTCGAAAATGTTGAACGATAGCTGAGGTGCGGAGCAAAATCGAACCCGATCCCTCCGTACAGGTTCGAGATTCTACCGCGTGCAAGTTCAAGGCTTCGTGAACGATACGGATACCTCTGCAAGGTCACCGAGTGTGCAAATACCGTGATTATAGCTGCGTACAGGT